TGGGGAATGGGGAGGTGTCTATCGTGGGATTGAACGCGTTTTGCGGTTCGACAAGTGCAAAGTCATCTCTGCTGGGCGATATTGCCGGACGGTTTTGGGTAAAAACATGATATTATTCACCACCTAGCCTGCGGTTTTACTGTCTAGGAAACCTCTATACAGAAAGAACGGAGAAAAGAAAAGAATATATGTACTAAATATACACCTCCCCATCCCATCTCCAATTTTCTCCCTTTCAAAAAAACCCCGCCTACCTCATCATGATCTCCCCTTGCACCGCATCATCATCCAACCCAATAGCGTCCATAACATTCCTCCACCTAACCCCACCCTTCTCCCTCCTCTTCAAATACTTCAAAAGCTTCTGCCTCTTGTGCACTAGTAGTCTCAAATTCCTCTTGTTATGCTTATCCGTGGGACCCTTCAACTCCAAATGCCTCGCCAGGTTCCTGATTTTCACCGTCAAGATGGCAGCCTGAACCTCGCTGCTCCCTGTATCCGGCCCAGCCCTGGGAGTCTTGTTAGACTCGGCTGGATCCGGTGCTCCCGGGTCCCGCGGGAGCGTCTCATCCGTGACGTGCCTGCCGAATAAATCTATACACCTCGCCTTCTGAACCCTCATCTTATCGCTCCTAGAGCCAATACTCAAACTCGTGATTCGCTGGATCGCGGAGACGGAACGGTTGTGCGCTTCCTCATGCGCCCTGATGAGGGCTTCTTCCTTCTGCCTGTCTGAAAAGCCGGCGGACCCGGACTCCGTCAGAGTGTCGGTACACGGTTTCGTGAGACAGCGGGAGCGCTCGAGTCCTTCGGCGAGGTCCTCCGGTGTGAGGTAGTGGTTTAAGTGTGTTCTTTCCGTATGCCCGGCGAGGGGGTCGACGTTGTGTGCGCGTGCCCAGTCCACGGGGGGTAGGGGTGGGGGCTGCGTGTCGAAGGACTCAACGAATTCGGTGTCTGTGCCTAGGACCGGGTCGATGCGGGAGGACAACCGTTCCTTCTTTCGCTCCTTACGCTTCTCTAGGTTTTCTCTGCGGATTTTTTCGGATTTGGCCCATTTTATGAGATCATTGGGCCTTGGGTTAGCTGTTTTTTTGTGTGTTATAGGGGTGGTGGAAAAGCGGAGTTTTGCTATCGTTGGTTTAGAGAAGTAGCATTAGTGGGGGGCGAAAGAGGAATTGAACGAGGTGGGGGGATAGGGTGGGGCGTACGGGTTGAAGATATCCGGAGGGGGGAGATGCAGGACAGTAATCTCGCAGTTGGTAGACGGGGAGGCATAGCGGCGGCGGTGGAGTCGTGTTTGGAGGTGAGTTCGTTGGATGGGTGGGGGTGTTGCTAGACACATTTTCGAGGTTTGGAATTTGGGTTACACGTGATAATAATGCCCTTGTTCAACTTACCCGATACCCTAACCCTGTTCATTTCTGGGGAGGATAGGCTATCCGTGAGGATATCCGGAATCCGAGGTCGATTAACCATAATGCGGCGAATACAACACATAGCTACAAGGCACGCGAGATTGTGAGATATATGTTAAACCCGATCAACGAGTAGCACCAGAACTGCTGCAAGGAAATTAAGAAAGCCTCACGCATAGCGTACACTATGAACCAAGAACAGTTACAGAGCAGAATACTTATCTCAGGAACACAAAAGAGGCCTATCCGTTTTTTATTCAGTCAATTAACAGATAGATTCTATCCTTTCTTGCTCCCTTACCGCGCACCTTCCTAAGAACTCGGTTTCTCGGCATTGGCATCGGCACTCTCCTCCGGCGGCACAAGAACCTTCTCCTTCTCTAGCAAATCTCCGAGTTCTTTGGACTGATACATTGAGACGAGGATATCGCATCCGCCAATAAACTCCTTATTAACGTAGAGCTGGGGTATAGTTGGCCAATTGGAGTATTCCTTGATACCTACTCCATATCCCGCCATCGGAATTAGCCCGAGTCCACCGCATCCACCACTATCGTCGAAATCGTCAAATGGACATGAGGGCAAAAAGAAATACCTTCCCGAATCTCATTGTTTTCCAAAACATTGAAAGCCACAAATTTCTTTGGGTCGACCCCCTGCAAGCCTAGAATCTGAATGGAAGCGCGGGAGAACCCGCACTGCGGGGATTCCGGGGTCCCCTTCATGAAGAGGACTACAGGCTTGGCCGACAAGACGCGCTCAATAGCCTGGCGGGTAGATTCCGAGAGCAATCGAAGTTGTTGTTGTTTGTAAGAGAACTTGGAGGCATTTGTAAAGGCTGGCACGAACGGACGAGTGGCGGTCTAGGGCCTGAGTTACTTTCGCCTCGCTTCCCAGTGCTCCTGTGGCAGCAGGTAACTAGGATGTCTCACCTGGAAAAGTATCCGGGATTTCGGCAGTAGGAATCTCATTTTGAGGGTATTGTTCGAGGGAGCGCAGGCGCTCGGATGTGCGGGATCTGGGCGAAGGTGAGGAAATCGGTGATGTCAATTTTTCGGAGAGGTGGTGTCAGGACCGCCTCGTGCATCGATAACCTAAAGCTGGAACCAAACGCTGGATGTCACGCACCAAATAGCCGCGATCCCCAATCCTCTTGAGCCTCAACAGCCCCTTTGAGGCATCCTTGATTATTAAGTGAAAATTCGGATTAAAAATTTTCCGGTACACTAGCTCCCCAGGGCTTACTACTCTGTCTGATACTGTAACTTACCCCTAAATAGACATTATTTGCATGCTTCTGAAAGCCCATTTTCACCAAAAAGGCACTTGGAGAATGCTAGACGTTGGTACAGTGCTCTAACCCCAGGAGATACCACTACACTTCCTATACAGTACTCTACTATTGCTGTGAAGGTATCGTAAAAACTGGAATAATTGGGAATCAGCCTAGGACGTCAGGGATTTCCCTCCTCGACCTAAGGGGAGAAGCTCCACACCAGAACCTCACCGCCGGTGAAGGCCCCGAGCGGCGCAATTGGGCGTACACTAAAGTCGCACGCATAGCCTCCCTAGAATCCCGACCAGGGGCACTCCAATAATGGCTATTACTCACACAAAAACCTACACCCGCATTGAGGGCATTTCGATGGGATTGAGAAGGATTGGGAGGGAATGTGGTGCTAGGTAGCTGGATTCATGAGCGATTAGGTACTGTGCTCATAGACAGTAATGAAAGCTTGGGAGTCGACCGTAGGGAGAGATTGCGGGAGTTTCGAAGGGAGAGGGGTGAATGGTTGGCTCAATTATGTACCGCACTAAAACCGTTCTGCGCGACACTTCCTTTTTTTCAGAATCCAGAATTTCTACCATAGCATCCCTGAGTAAGTGGCGGCCCGCGGGTAGGCAGTCACTACCACACTGAGGATCCGGTATGGGGTTCACAGTCACAAGGTTCCCCACGGCATGTTCGGCGGTGCTGAGCAGAGCAGTGGCTTCTCTAATGCGATGGACACCCTACAAAACACCCGCGCAAACCTCCAAAATCATCTCACGCCACTTGACCCAGCACGGCTCGATCAACCAGAAATCTACCACGACACATTGCTCTAAGCAAGTTAAAGAGAGAGAAACGAAGGAAAAAATAGCCATTTTAAACAGCGAAAATGCTAAATACCGCACCCAACCCTAACTCCGCAAATGCTGCCATCCCCGTTTTAACAAAGCTCCCGGTAACCGTTTTAACAATCCAGAACACAATTGAAAGTATACACACTATCTTGGGCATTGGTAAGACAAGAAGGAAGAGAGAAAAAAAAGTAGGAAAGTAGGGGGGGTTAGCTGTTTATGGTGTGGTATAATTACCTTGCTTTCCCTAACCCTAAAATTATTATACAGTGAAGCAGATGAGGGGGTATGAATGGACGAAAGGCTGTGGAGGCCGTGTGAAAGAAAGAGGAACCCGAGAAGAGAAAATGCTAAAGAGGGTATTAAGATATGTTCGGGGCAAACTCTAGGTAGGTTTAAGATCTCCCGGAGCCCGAATCCTGTGGTGCGGTACATTCCTCTCAAGTCTTCCGGTTCGAGGATTCTATAAACAATTAATAGCGGCCCCTCAGAGAATACACCGGGGGCAGAAAAATAGTTCAAACTCACAATAACCCCGGACCGAAACCCCAGACAACCATCCTTAACAGAAGGAACCATACTTTCCGGTAACCCCATGAATTCGTCAAAGCTGATTACGCTGGGCACCTCGGTCGAACCATGTTCGGTCTCTGGCTTGTCGATTTTGTCAGCAATGGGGGTGTTCGAAGTACTTGCAGACTCATCATCGTCATCAGGTGGGTTCTCCGCAACTGTCATTGTTAATGGAGGCCGATTTTGAGAGATTAGACGGTGGAGGTGCACTTTCATTAATCTGGCCTGATCAAAAGGTCTGTAAACGGTTTTGCGCCATCCACGCTTGCGAAAGGTACTTGGATCTGGCCCTGGTTGCTCCGTAGTTGTTGGGTAGCCCCAAGGGTCTACCCCACAAAACTTGTTGCCGGAATAAAAGTCCCGCATGGGGCCATAGGTGAAGGTCTTCTTGGCGGTATCAGCTCTGCCGTCTTGCGCGCCGTGTTCTGCTTGGGTGTCTTCCTGAGGGGTGCTCCGGTCAGAGTGCGCCTCTTCCCATCGTACCAGGCGCTTGAGCACTTTTTTCTTGGGCGGCTCCTGTTTTGACGATCCTTGAGTAGGGAGAGATTCAGCGATTACCTCAGGTTCCGGAATCTCGTTTCCAGGAGTGGGCTTTTCGTTGGGCCCATGAATTCCTGTTAAGAAGATCTTCAACTTTTCCTGCAAAGCTGCTTTCTCTTTTTCCGACTCTTGAAGTTTGACCTGCAGCTTGGCAGCCTTTTCCGCCTGATTCTTGGTATAACCCTTTTGATCCTGTAACCGTTTCTCTAATACTCTAAGTTTTCCGGCATGACCCGATTCGCTAGAGGAATCATCAGTGACAAGCACCCTGCTGATACCGCCTCCGGCATATTTAATAGCGGGCCCCTTGCGAGCAGGTTTCTTCAGTTGAAAAACACCTTTCGCCACAGTCATCCTTGTATCGTGTTTCGGAGGCTCCGTTGTCGATAAAGCGCCAGGCAGAGTGGAGCCATTGATAGGCTTACGAGCATCCACCCTGGCGGAAGCTCGAACCAATATAGCACCATTGACTCCGTTCTTCTTCAGGGGCGCCGCTGTCCCCAACTTCTCTGCAGCAGCACTGACCTTTGGTTTTGGAACATCCATGATTTTCCGCGCCTTTTGGTTCCTAATAGCTGTCTCCTCGATTGGTTGGGAGGGCAAACCCCCGTTGGTGACTTTAGGGAATTTCATCTGGTATCTCTCAATCACCCGTTGCTTTGCTGTGCGGAAGACTTCGACTGGTTGCAGATCCTGTGGAGTGCATCCTCTAGATATATCACTTGGAAGGGAATCCGAGCTAGGCGTGGTATTTGAGCGATTATCTAGCAACCCGGTAGCACTCAGTGTCGAAGAGTGTCTGCTACGTAAGTCATTCTTGCGGTTTGTCCGGAGACGCAAACAAGACGGAGCTGGTGAACGGTAAGACGGAATCGTGTCATGACAGGGCTCTCGGGGCATCGTATCTGTTAGATCAGAGCCTCTGCAATGCTCCCTGCGGACACAAGATGAACTTTTATAGACTATGTTAGTGTCTTATTCTAAGCAATGAAGTGTGTTTGGCTTGGGGCATACCATATATTAGCTCTTTTATCATCCAAGATTGCCATATCGGAACCACAACGACGGCACGATACCACGCTATCTACCGAACTGCCTCGTACCTGAGCCATTTGTGGCCTGCGTGCGAGGCGACGGAATTGAGTATGGTGGCGTGAAAGAGTGTCGTTCGCTCCAGGCCATGGCGGAGGGGGGCTGTAATGCGGTGAAGAGATACCAGTTCTGCCGGTGGTGGGGCGTTCGACGGCTCCTTTCCCTCTGCAGGATGAGGAACTTGGCCGAGAGTATGGGGACTCTTCGCTGCTATGAGCATTAGACGGATTATTCCAATTAAACTGTCTCTGTAATCTTTCATGTCGTGAACCTCCAGCCGTTCTGTCTTGAATTTGTTGCTCTGGACTTTCGGATGGCAAGGACTGATAACCATTGGCTGGTTGTCGTGAATTGCGCCCATCACTGTAGCCTTCAAGAGGCTCCAGTGACATTAGGCCACCTGTTAAAACTCGTTCACGTTCCTCTTCGGAATCCGGAACCTCCGAAACTGGAAAAGGCCGTTTCAATCTCCTTCGACGAAGCGCACCACTCTCATCCGCGCCGTCAAGGAAGAGATGCTGATCAGCTGAAGGTTGCGAAAATTCTCCGGGGGTTGGTGAGTTGAGTGTCTGGCGGAGTTTGGAATGTGGAATTGGAGTAACGTCATCTTGGGGGTCCTTGACCGCCGGTGGCGTCCGGTTCCAACCTTCTCCCTGGCAGCCATTAGTGGATACAGATCCGCTGCGTGATCTATTATCGATCACAACTGCAAGTTTCCGACTCCCGGGGAATACGTTCGCAGACCTTGACATGCCATCAGAGTAGTAGGCGAGCTCAGGCACGTCAAATCTTCGCTCTGTCCCTGCATCAAACTCGCCTGGATCGTCATGAGAGTTATGATGGGGTGTCCTCTGGCTACCGATGTCGGTTGGGTAGGCTGGACCGATGCCGTCACCCGCGCGGCGAGCGAAATTGTCCTCTCGGTCCCTCGATGCTGCTGTTGTCACAAGAGAGCCCCACTGTGGGGCTGCCTTACCATTCCCCAACGATTCGCTCACCCTTATACTATGCGAATCCAGGACTCTTCTGACCGAGCGTTGAGATTTGGGGTTTCGGGAATGGTCATTCCTATCTCGCGCAGTACCCTCCTCTTGAAGATCGGCCGGAGAAAAGGTCATCCGGGTGCTGCCTTTAGATAAACTGCTCGATCTACCAGCTGAAGTATCGGACGCGTTGGGGGAAAGCCGGGGTATTTTGCGCGGCCTGGATCTAGTCGGCGAGACCGATTCCCGACGATGCCCGTTACCGGGCTCAGCTGGATGAGCGGCACACCGTTGGCATCTCCAACCCCTCGAATCAGCATTGCTACGCGGAAGGGGAAGCGGTATTAACACGGTAGTTGGGTTTAAATGAAATATCAAAATAGATAGGAACATATACTCACATCACCTCTCTATTCACCGAGACTGTTGAATTACAACATGATATGTGATGATTCCCGAAGCATCTACCACACCTAACGATCAAATCGAGGCGGGGATATGCCGGCTTTTGACACTTGATACAGATTGGCCCCTTACGGGGGCTTATATCTGATCTATTGTTCGAGAATACAGAACGCGGGGATCTACCACTTGATATTGACATAGCTGATGTGGCAGACACCGGCGAAGCATTCCCGTGCCCTTGCACTGCAGAGCTCGTATGAGGTATGCCGGGGATTTCATACGAGTTATCCCCTGGAGATACAAATTCGGATCTTATCTGGTTAAGCTCGGAATTGGTGTACTGTTCGGGATGGTGGTAGATTTCGGGACTGGAATATTCGAACGGGAGAAAAGTCGATGTTTGGCAAGCAACGGATGTTGTGTGTTGAGCCCCAAACTCGCGTAAAGCATCATCCTGGCCCGCGTTCGCGTTTCTGCCGCGTGTTGCCAAGAGTATTAATGTCAAAATTTAATTCTCTCCAGCAGTGAGGAGAAAGTGGTAGGAACAAACCCATTTCTAACATGATCAAAATCCGATATACCGGTGCCATAGGAATAATGTGGATTGCTATAATGACCCGCTGCTGCATAAGGGAAGATCAGTTGATCGTAAGGAAACCCCCCCGGCGCGCGATATATTTCTTGTTCGTAATTATTATCATGCGTTGCCGAATACGGGATTCCCTGACCAGCGGCTGGTTCAGAAACGCTGCCTTCCCTCCCAACGCTCTCCTCCCTATCGCCTCGCAAATGTAGATTTCCAGATCCCTCCCCATGACTAAATCCAGCCCTACGCTCCCGTCTTCTGGACCGATCTGGTGAGGATCTCCCGTAGGGTGAGGTGTGCTGGTTCCTTCGTCGTCTGGGTGATTCTCGTTGGTGGTGTCGGCGTCTGCCCCTCTCGACCGACCTCTGCCGTCCCCCAAACCATTCCTGGTTTCGCGAGTCGTCCATCATACTAGACCTTTCAGTACGAGAACTGCTCCTACCTCTCTTCTTTTTCATCTTAGATGTAGATCTCGGGTGCCGACGGAAGCTACCATTTCGAGAGGGTTTTTCATGACCGTAATCACCTCTATCTCGCTATACAATTTTATCAATATAGACCTACCTCTGCCCTGAAAATAAGAATAACAATACCTCATGCCCATCACGATAGTCCCGGGTACGGTTTCTGCCGCCGGACCACTGATGCTCCTACCTTGCCAATACCGCTTGTCAGCTTAATGCCCAAAGCAAATACTTTATGAAGATGTATAACTGAGATGGGAAAATCCATATTGCAGGGTTTCGTGCTCTGCATCAGGTCTTTTCAGTTTTAATTGGACCTCATCCTGCCAGCCGCTTCTTCCATTGGCTTGCCAGCATCCTGTCCCGCTATGCCCAATAGCGGATCACATCCTACTTCCTACGTGCTCATCCAACCCACCTACTGCCCATCTCCATCGAATTCCGGTTTATACCAGCGCATGAAAACCATACCTTACCCAGCTGCCAGGAAGCATCAAATACCATCAAGTAGGAATCCTAAAAATCACTCATCTGTACACCGCTGCCATTGGCCCCAACCGATACTTCTACCTTCTCTACTCTCCTTTGAAATTCAGATACAACCCCTGCAATACCTTCACATCGCAACACCTTCTGGTCACCCCGGAGCTCCCACAGAGTGGGAGGGCGGATCCCATATTGTCCCCAGACTGACCCCAACTTCCGCTCTCGACACATTCAAGAATGCGGAGCTCTAGGAAGTGGAGCAAACCTAGCTAAACATGAAACCTCTCCCACCTGTAAAAGTGGTCCGGTTAGAGTGAAAGGTTTAGCAACGTTATAAGCATAACAGGGGCTCGTATCTGTCAATCGCAGTCATGCAGAGGAGGCTCAAATGGAGCTCCATTTGCGGTGCGCAATCTATTTTTCTTCATTCACCATTCCTCAATCCCAATGGCTAAGAAAGAGGAGTTTGGTAACGGTAGCATATACTTGATGTTTCTGTAGATGGTAGCCGATGGCGTTGGCCAAGAAAGATAGGTTAACAAGCAAAGGCGAAACCGTAACCCAATAGATCTGAGTGTTTGCCATGCCAAACGGGCATTTCGGAGAGTAAAACATGACCCAAGCCATTGTGGGGTCGCTAGATAAGATGAAGCTACCCATGAGAGCGGCATTGAGACAGTCGGACCTTTTACCAGGAGATCATCATTTGCAGCAAGGGCTCTTGGATTTCGGTGTCCTCTACTGCTCTCGTTTCCCATACCTTTGAGGAGGAGGGCATAGTCCTATCCAAGGTGACAACCCGTCACACAGAAGAGGATAGACAGAGGATAGACAAAGGCAAGGACAAGGACAAAAAGAAAGCAAAATAATGAAAGGTGAGGAAAGCGAGGGGAGATGGGGGGGGAAAGTAGAGAGACAAAGAAACACTTGCCTTGGAGCGAAATTCTTCAGGCGCCGGATGGCTCGGGCCATTCTCAGCAGACCCACTCTTACCTCTCCCTGCCATGCCCTCCCTGTAGGACCACTGCCTTGGAAGGCAATGCAGTGGACCCGTTGGTGCAGGTGGGTAAGTTGGCTTCGAGTACAAAGTCGGTAGAAAAGAGGGGGGCTAAGTGGCCCTAAAGAGAATTCTTGGGTAGAAGTGGGGTTGCGAACCACTGTGGTGTCAATTCCTGAAAGGAAAGACACATTTGTGAGATAGAGAGGGTATGGGGTGGGCTCGAAAGCTTTGGGTCGAAATGATGTGGGGGATAATGACTGCTGTAGATTGTAGATGATACAGATGAATCGAACAGGCGTCTAGCCTTAAAGGAAGAAGGGGAAGAGAGGAGGGAGCTGAGGATGTTATGTTGGTGGATGAGGAGACGCGGCGAGTAGAAAGGGCAAGGGCAACAGGTCCATTTAGGTGACTAAGCGGAAAAAGGGTGAGGGGACACTCATGCTACCAGTGCCATACCCAACACTCACAGCGGTGCCGGCAGGTGGGCGGCCATCCCTAACCATACCCCCAGAAGGCCTCTCATGGGAGGTTGAGAGAGCGAAAGTGCAGACAGGCCCACTTCCTGAGGGCGTGGCTGGTAGGCGTTGTTCACGCACCAACATCCAATCTACGGCTAATCACTCAAAATAAATAGGGGTTCGCCTGTCGCTGCATCCCTTAACTTAAGTCTTGACAACTGCCTGCGCAGGGAGTTTGACACGTCCCTCCTCTCTGCTCAACCACCATTTATGCCCAGGCACCTCCACTGTTGGGAATTTAGCAGGCATCATTTGGCCTCACTATTATTGCATCTCTCAGCCCGAAGGCGAGGGCCGCTGCAAACTATAGTGCTCGAGTGAAGGGGAAAAAAAACAACTTTCCCCGCAGCACCGCATCTACCGACCTCATTGGATACAAATCCCACCGCATGCGACTCGAGTGCCTTGAGCTAAAACAGTGGCCGACCGACAGCGCCTGCGTATCTTCCAACATCCTGAGGGGGAATCTTTTCGCACACTGCCGAACGTCTCGTCTCTTGTTCCCTCTGCCGTTTAGCCCGCTCTCTCTATCGATCCGTTGCTTGGGCGGACTGTGCGGTCCACGCCTGCCCCCCCTCACAGCGGCCCCTGAGCCTTTGGGCAAGGCTGGTCGATACAGTACTAGCTTACGGTAGCTCGTATTCTTTTTCTGCGGATTTTATACCTGCATCTTTTCACCGCACGGCATGGGGTCGATCCCAAACACGTCGGCATTTGAGCTAGGGCTCATGAAAAGGTAGGGTCAAATATTTGTGGTTTCCAGCTTCTGATCTCGCTTGCGGGATTTGTGGTGCATGAAAGCCCAAAAGAAAAAAGAAAAAAACTTATGCCACAGTTTTCTTTTTTCTTTTTTCCTTTCTCCTGTTGAGAATCGAAACTACATCGTCAGTCACTTGGTGCCACATCCAGGCGCTTGGGAATCTCTGCAAATCAGTAGACAGAATAGCAAAGCAAATGTCCCCAAGTATCAGCAGCAGCAGCGAAGCGGTTGAGAGATTGGCGCATGTTTTAAACGGACAGTTGTGGTGCAGAATGTTGGCGACACAGAAGCCCGACCTGTGGTGCACAAAACTGCGCCGATGGAATGGCTGCCGTGTCCACCCCTCCAGGTCGTTGCCATCGAGTCTTAAGGATACGCGGGCAATAGAGGGCACACAGCAGATCGCGCTCGAGTAGATTGTGGGGTGCAGCGGGTCCATCAATATTAGTAAATCTGGGATGGGCGGTGGTATACACCCACTGAATTGCAAGTTGGTGGGTCGCTCATCTATGGTCTGTCTTTCCAACAGTCTAGAGGGTGCAGCATCTAGGAATTATCCCGATGCGAGTCCACCACTCTAGTAACCAGCCTTCAGGCTGAGCCTCCAGGCTGAGCCTCCAAGTCAGTAAGCAGGAGGCTCCTTAGCGTTTCATGCAACTATTGACAGATTCTTTGGCTTGGGTCCCCAGTGCCACTAGCGATATTACTGGCAACCCATGGAGAGCCTACTCTTCCAGGATAGCCTGCGAGGGCAGGTTCAATAAGTGGCATCCGCTCACTTGCTAAGGTAAAACGTGGGTATTTAAGCGCTGATAGTCAACTCAGAATTGCATCTGCGGGCACACCTGAAGCAAAATCTCACACTTCACTTGAGGATATGAAAAGATAATGAATGGTCCCTAGGAGATTATCTCGGACTCAGTAGGGCTAATCGGAGTCAAGCAAGGTAATTGTGGACTGATTGCCAATGCTGTCGTCATATCGGCTCATAGTACACGTTTATACGGTAGTATTTACTGGTCTACTCTGACCGTCTGGAGCAAAGGTGAGGGGGGTACAAGGTACGTCGTGCTCAACTAGACGGAAAATCGACGAACTGGGGTTCCCCACCCAGGGGCCACAGCTCACCACTTATCAACCTTCATCCATCATTGGGCGTCAAGTGTCTAAATACATTCCTACGAAAGTTGAATCTCTCACCGCTTGGATGAGGAAGATTCTGCTACCGATAGTCACAGATATGGGCGGGGTGGTGCTTCTCAGGAGGAACCAAATATCTGCCCAAGTACGGGTTCTGAAACTAGTACTTCTCAGGATTCCGGAGAAACCTTACATTCCTGGCTACTTATCATGAGATCTAGACTTGCTAGTAGTGCCCGTTCTACCCGATCCACCGTTGTCCCAGCCGGCATCTTCGTTCAAGCCAACACCCTCCCAAACCCCCAGTGGGGATGTAGACTCCGGTGTGGGCCCAAAAGGCGCAAGCCACTCCTGTATGGAAGAGGTAACTGGGTATAGTACTCGGAATATGTGCGTGCTGAGTCCCCGAATTGAATGCTATCCGAGTAGAGGGCCGACATCCAGACATTACAACCCAGAAACGACAAGATGAATCTAAAGCATCTCTAAGGCAAAATCAACAACTCCAGCAGATCCACAGAAGCTCTGCTGGGAAGATGAGAGTTCTGCAAAAAGGTTATGGGGGAGCTATGGAGATAGCTATGAACGCGGAAGCGGATCTTGAGCACATGATGAAATTATGTCTCCAAGGGCTGGTGGGTAGAGCCTTCTTAGAAAAGGTTGCAGAAGGCCGGTGTAACACGTTCGAGTGATTTCTCTTCTTCCGGGCATTAATTTCGTAATCATTCAACTGGATTGAGGCCGTTGCTGCAGTGTTCAGAGTAGGAATCAATCCTCCTGCCCCTCCGGCCCGGACCTGTCTTCCTTGTTGGTTGTCTGTCGACGGAGACGCAGACCAAGGCGTAATACAAATAGTATAGTTTTCACCAGGGATCCTCGATTGGTTATTGATGTCTCTGTCAACCTCTTTCTTCTTTCCCTAGCCTTGGGAATGGTTATTCGTATGTGATAGACGAGCAAAAACTAGAGCCTTGCGCGGGGGAGGGGGTAGTTATCCCATACCTCAGACGGTTTGCTACTACATACTCCACTCTCCCGGTCCATATTTGGTTTCAGACCAGCACACAAGAATAGCTAGACCCGGTCGATAGGCTATTGGTTGGTTGGAGGCTTGGAAGGATGAACCTAGATATAACCGGTTCTTGGCAGGATGACGCCGAACGTTGGAGGAAGAGACCGATGGTGAACTTCTCCTGATCTTCGGAAATATTTTGATACTAAGGTTTGTTGAATCAATGTCAATATGTCTCTCGCTCTCTCGGGGTCGGAGGGGGGGGAGGATTACTTCTTATCTCATTCATTGAGCCCACTTTCACAGCGGTCATACGGGGAAAACCTCCAATTATTGTTATCGCTACCAATCATACGGTGCCTTATTCCTGTAAACGGCCGCTGCTTCCACCCCAGCCAACCAGCTCCCCGCGACAGTCACTTAATTACCGGCTAACTATGATACTATACTGGAAATAAAATCTACCCCCCTAATCCATTAACCCGCAACAAATCCTCAACCACCTCCTCCAAAACCTCGGGCTTGGCCAACCCCATCCTCCATCCCATAACTTTCTCACTCCAGTACCCCGGTCGCGCGGGCAAGTCCTTCGAGAACCCCACATCGGCATACCAAGCCCCCGCCAACCCGCCATAAACTGCAGCAACAGTATCCGCATCATCGCCCATGTTAACCAGCAAAATCGCTCCGTCCTCGAACGTCGTGGTGGCAAAGAAAGCCCACAGGGCGGCCTCAAGCGTATGTAGCACATACCCGGACGAGGAGATCTCCTCGCGGGGTTTATCCACAAACTCCCCGTCGGCAAGGGTGTCCCGCAACTTGACGTTCACGTATGAAAACTCCCTAACGATGCGGAGCAAGTGCGCCTTGCTCTTCCCCCAATCCCGCGCTCCCGCCCATTGCAGTATCTTGCACACGAGAAGGGTGTACAAAGCGCACGCCTCCTGGCACATTTCGTGCGGGTGGGTGGGCATGCTACTCTCCCGCGCGAGCCGCATCGCAACATTCTCGTCGCGGAAGTAGGTGAGGCCGATCGGCAAGACGCGCATCAGGGAGCCATTCCCGCACTTACTCTCCACCGCGAAGTCCCGCGCGATGACGCCCAGCGCTTCCTCCGGCTGCCGTTCCCAGATGGATAAAGCGGAGCGGGTAGCGACGCCGATGTCGAAGCAGTACCCGACTGCGGAGAGATATCCTGTTTTGAACCACGAGACATACCACCCTGCCTGATCCTCCAGGGAGAATGAGGGAGGTGTGGTCCTGGTCAGACTTTTCGCTAGGCAGAGGGCCATGCTCGTGTCGTCTGTCCAGGCCCCAGCTTCCAGGCCGGCGTGCAGGTTCGGTTGCAGCGTGTCGATGTGCGGGAATGTCCCGCGCGCAAGGAACTCGGCTGGCGCACCGAGGGCGTCGCACATTGCTAGGCTAAAGAGGGATGTGCGGATCTTGGTGGCGAGGGTGGAGGTGGGGAGGGTTTGGGATTCCATGGTGTTGTCGGTGGTGCTTTGTGATTTGGGTGAGCGACGACTGCGGTGAGTGAAGGGGAGAGAGGGGTAGGGGTTCTCCTACCAGTATACCTCTCTAGGATAAGTACTCGTACAGTATAGGCAGTAGATGTGTTCTCTCGTAGAGAACGTCACCCTCTTTGCTCCGGTATTTGCGAGCTTTAGTCCACGACCGGCTGAGCTCTACGAGTACCGGTAGCTTTGTGGCAAATTTACACTAAGATAATCGTGCCAAGCTTCCCATCACCTCTAAAGTCTCTAAGCGACCTTGGAAGATTGGCAGTACTTGTACTCAAGACGTTAGCGAAAATAACAGCTTAATGAAAACAGCCTTTAAGTGCTAAGCATTATCACTAGTATCTGCTCTTTCTCTTCAATAACAGACCCAACCATATTCCCAAATCAATACCCAAAAAGCAAAAGATAAATTCAAGAATTTAAAAGCTAAATAGAAAACTTGAGCCCAAGGGCACTATGATGGGTGTCACCTGTAGGTTTGAGGTACTACATCAGCAAAAAATAGGCTTCGTTACGGGGCCCCGTCTCCGTGGAACAAGGACAAAATAACCTAGGTTATTCTAATTAACCTAGTGAAAAGATCATCCAAATGGGACCAAAACTGAAGGAGCTAGAGTGATTTGAAGTTGGTAAACTTTAAAGAGCTCTGTCTCACTCAGTTCTTGTCCGATTTGGATGATTTTTGGCTTAACTTATAGCTAATAACCTGCTCTTGGTATTCCACTTGCCACAAATGGGGTCGTAATGAACACTAAGCAAAAGTAAATGCTTGCATCCTGTGCATCAGATATACAAAATAGACAGGATGCAAACCAGGATGTAGGATGTAATAGTCTTTGGTGCCAGAACTCAGGATACAACTAAGGTCCTGTTTGGTATGGCAGAAAGACAGTGTATTTGTTAGTTTTTCTTGGTTTTTTCTGCTGTATTAAACTAAAATAATCCAAGAGTGTTTGATAGGTATAAAAATCCTATAGTATTTCAATCCTCTGTATTTCTATTCAGAATATTTTTTATGGGTATATTGCATGTAAGTTTTCAAGGAGATAAGATCAGCCCATTTGCTTAATACAAGATTATACTTATATAGAAATTCAGTTATAGTATAATAGGAGTTTGATTTTGCTATGATTTTCTTGTCAATTGTATTAATAATATAATTTAGACAACTTGAAGAGTATATCCTGTTAATAATAGAGTATGATATCTTGGTAATGGAACTCATATCATAAATAAAACTATATTGCAATACAAGTCACAATACATCTATTCTGAATGAACTAACCTTAAGCACAATCATTGTTATTTTTTAATATGAGTCAACAGGAAAAGGATGAACAATCTGTATTCAAAATAGATGGTCCAAGATTATTGCAGCTGGCTACTGCAACTTATACCTTTATTATCAAAAATATCTCTTTGTGTTCTGTGCGTTCTGTGTATCTGATGTACAGGACGCCTAAACGCAAACTGTTAATTTGGACACGATGTCCGTCGGATGTCACGTCCAGATTTGCCTTCCTCTTACACACTCCATCCTTACTCCACTGGATGTGGGTGCTGATATCCTCTGTGTCCAGAAATTCCATGCTCTTTTCTTTTCCCATTCGGAGATTTCACACTTTCTTCTCCTTGCGTCCTGACTATTCCTATAACCCTTTACTACTTCCTGATATCATCTGATTCTCCCCCATCCCACCTGACTTTGCCCACCCCCTGCATCAGTAAAAATAAAGGCTTGTGTCTTGTGTGTCCTGTGTGTCTGATACATAGGATGCACAGGATGCAAACCATTAATCAGGACACAAGATGGCAGGTACTGAATCTTAGGACCCAACGGTCCTTGGTGCCAGAACTCAGGATGCAGCCAGAACACAAGCAAGCCTTGGTGCCAGAACTTAGGATGTAGCCGGAACGCAAGCGAGCCTTGGTGCCAGAACTCAGAACGCTGTCACAAACTGTGACTAAGCAAGGCAGATTTCACATAGCTCGGACTTCCGAGTTATAGGTATGTTGGAATTTCACATGACACACACTAGTGCGCCATAGGCTATTATGTTTACCTGTTCGTGACTCACAGTTGTGAGTCATACGATGTTATGATTTTCGCACATGACTCATACTTATAAGTCATGGGTTTCACTCAGGTGACGCGAGTTGCGCACCTGATTAAGTTATTATGTTTTGATTGGTTTAGGCATGTTGCGCAGTGACTCATAGGAGCATCAGCAAAAATTCATTCTGCGTCAGATTCGCGCGTCTCACATCCCGACGCAGTGCGCTCGTCCCCTGCGTCTCCTGCATCCCCTGCGTCCCGTGGGTCCACTACTCCGGCGCAACGCCCCCCTGCGTCATCTGTGTCCCCCTTTTTACCCTGTCAATTCCCTCCATCTCCAAGGAGGCGCCGTCCACCCATACGTCCGGACCGCGTCCTGTTTCTGATCCAATCTTGTCGTCGTCCTGACGCCGCGACCCGAGGTCAACTGCGAGATCAAGCTTTCTCCGCATCCTGATGCTCTGTTCTCGCTCCTTTCCTGATTGCTAGTTTCCAGCCGCCGTTACTGCAATCCGTTAACTACCAATTTGATTCCCGGGCCCGGCATTCTTCATCTCTGACGGCCACCTCTCGGTTCTCGTTTCCTCCATGTTTACCCCTGGTCAGCACGTCTGAGTCTACGGCATTGTCACGGCCACCCGGCGTGCTGGGCGCGGGGGAACATTGGACTTTTGGTTGCATATATCGGCTGTGGTTTCGTTGGTTGCATTGTAGGATTTCCTTTGTATTATGGTTGGGATAGGTTGACGCGCGACGGAACCTGGCGGAACATGACGGAAAGATCGCGGCTGCACGCGACGCCAAGGACTTTCTTTTGTATTAGTGATCATGGAGGATTTCCTATCTATATAAGGGGGTGTGCCCCCTTATACTTTATGTTCTTTACGCAATCTGGTAATCTCCTTCGGACACCCTTTCTTACGTGCCAGGGATATTCCTTTACCTCTTTGAAGCTTTTCGGCTCGGTTATTTATTTTGCACTTTGTTTGTTTGTTTTGTTTCACCACACTTGAAGCATTTACTCCCTCCTCCCCTCGCTTAGGGTCGAGTTGGTGTGCGCTACCTAGCCTCGAAGGCACTTTGGGCGAGATATCCGAGGTTTAAGCCCGGTAATCCCAGGTGCAGTCGGGCGGGCAGACATGTCGTCTCCCTCCCATTCTCCTCAGGCTTCGGCCTTGTCGTTTGAAGTTTCCTCGTCCATGCTTACGGATGCGGAGCCTTCCTCCTTCTCCTTGGGTACGCCCTCAGTTATCGTCGACGTCCCGGCACCAGCACATGAGGCTGTGAAACACCGCCGCGCCCTCGTCGAAATTAAGACACGGTCTTACCGTGCACCTGGAGGGGACTATGCGTTCCTCTCCTTTGCTCATAGTTACGGTTGCGTCAACGCTATGAATAAGGCGTTTGATGATAGTGTGAGGGCTGTGGTTGTTAATGCCAAGCTTGTCACGATGAAAGAGGTGGAATGTTTGGTT